AGAACTGGAAATGGTTCGGTTCAAGGTGAAGCTCACGGTGCAGGGGACGTTTCTGCGGTCTCTGAAACGTAATCGCAGAAGAGGATGGTGAGTTACGGTAGAGAGAAGATGGGGGTTCTAGTGAGAAGGAGGAGAAGTGAAAATCTGAGATTTGGAAGGGGAGAAGGTGCGCGTAGAGAGTGGGAGCTTTTCCAAAAATTTTACTTTTGATCAAATCCCACTTCCAGACGAACGAACGTCTCTCTGGTTGACACCTGCACCCCATCATTCACTTCAGAAACTTCCACTTTGACAAGTGGCGTGCATGCAAGGCTCTGAGGGTGGATTTTAAATGCTCAGAACACGTGGCACGTCGCATTTATGGGAGCAGAGTGGTGACTCATCACCGTAATAAATGGGACGTGACAATCCCCCTAACTACAAAAATTTTCGTCCTCGAAAATTAAATCTTACCAGTAAATAGATGAGGGTATAAGTCCTTCATGGCATCTTCAACTTCCCATGTAGAGTCGCCCGTCTTTTCATCCCATACCACTTTCACCAAACGAACGTCCTTTCCCTTGTATAACTTGGTACGGACGTCTTCAACACGAATCGGCTTCATCTCTAGCGTTCGGTCTTGTCGAAGACGAACGTCCTCTAGCTCCAATATGTGCGAGGGATCAGCTACGTACTTTCAGAGTTGAGAGACGTGAAACACCGGATGAAGGTTGGACAATTGTGGAGGTAAAGCTAGCTCGTACGCAACCGGTCCAATCTTCCTCATGATCTGATACGGCCCAATGAACTTTGGAGATAACTTCTTTGGTCGTAACGCTCGGCCTACTCCAGTAGTTGGATTCAGCCGAAGGAAAATGTGATCGCCAGCTTTGAACTCTAATGGCCTTCTCCTCTTATCTGCATATGACTTCTGCCTGCTTCTAGACATCTTCAGCCTCTCTTGAATTAACCTCACCTTTTCGGTCGTTTGTTGAATGAGCTCCGGTCCCGTTAATACATTCTCTCCTTCTTGAAACCAGCAAAGTGGCGTGCGGCATTTACGTCCGTAAAGTGCTTCGAAGGGAGCCATTCCAATGCTGGACTGGAAGCTATTGTTGTAGGTGAATTCTACTAACGACAGTATCTCATCCCAAACGCCCATGTGATCGAGTACGCACGTCCTCAATAAGTCCTCGAGCGTCTGAATCGTTCTCTCTGATTGACCGTCCGTTTGAGGATGGTACGCTGAACTCATTTGGAGTTTGCTGCCCAGTTCGCTTTGCAACGACTGCCAAAACCGAGAGGTGAATCTTGTGTCTCGGTCAGAGATGATGCTGGACGGCACTCCATGCAGACGAACGATCTCTTTGATGTAGAGCTTTGCCAAGTTAGTCAATGACATCTTCAAGTTGACCGCTAGGAAGTGAGCACTCTTCGTTAAACGATCCACTATCACCCAAATGGAATCGTGATTCTTGACTGTGCGAGGCAAATGAGTCACGAAGTCCATTGAAATGCTGTCCCACTTCCATTCGGGAATCTCCAAAGGTTGTAGTAGGCCGCCCGGTCTTTAGTACTCAGCTTTTGCACGTTGACAAGTTAAGCATGATGCCACAAAACGTGCGACATCACTCTTCAACCCTGGCCACCAGAACGATTTCTTAAGATCCTGATACATCTTAGTCATGCCAGGATGCATGCTAAGGCGGCTGTGATGTCCTTCTTCCAGTATAATTCTCTTTAGTTCTCCATCATTCGGAACGCACGTCCTATTCATATAACGTAGAAGACCGTCCGTCCCGGTGTTGAAATGCTTAGCCTTATCTGTACCGAGCGTGTTTAAGATCAATACCAAATCTTCATCTTCCCTTTGCTTCATTCTGATTCGGTCGAACACGTCACTCGCTATTCTAAAGTTGCAGCATCTAATGCCGTTCGGCTCCAACTCGAACTGTAACCTTAGGTCTCTAAAATTCTCCACTAAGCTCAACTCACGCACCATCATAGACGAGACATGTACCACCTTTCTGCTTAATGCATCCGCCACAACGTTCGCTTTTCCAGGATGATACAGTAACTCAAAATCATAATCCTTTAGGAATTCCAGCCACCTCCGCTGCCTCATATTCAATTCCTTTTGATCAAAGAGGTACTTGAGACTCTTATGATCACTGAAGACTTGGAAAACGGATCCATACAAGTAGTGCCTCCAAATCTTTAAAGCAAAAACGACCGCTGCCAGCTCCAGGTCGTGCGTCGGATAATTCCTCTCATGTATTTTCAATTGTCGAGAGGCGTACGCCACCACTCGTTTGCCTTGCATCAATACACAGCCCAAACCTTGTAGAGACGCATCACAGTATACTTCAAAAGGTTTGGCCGTGTCCGGAATCACCAAAACTAGGGCGCTCGTCAACTTCTGTTTCAACTCTTGAAAGCTGGATTCACACCGATCGGTCCAAGCGAACGGGTGATCTTTCCTGGTCAGCCTATAGTAGCCAGCGAGTCCCACAAAGCTTCTAACTTCTGTTACCGAACGTGGGCTTTCCCATTCCAATACCGCTCGCACCTTGGCCGGATCAACTGAAATCCCACCAGCGGACACAACGTGACCCAAGAACTGCACTTCCTCCATCCAGAATTCACATTTGGATAACTTAGCGTACAACTCTTTTTCTCTCAACACTCCAAGTACCAACCTTAAGTGCTCTTCATGTTCTTCGCAGCTCTTGGAGTAGATGAGAATATCGTCAATGAACACCACCACAAACTTGTCCAAGTACGGCCTGAAAATCCTGTTCATATAGTCCATGAAGACTGCTGGAGCGTTCGTCACACCGAACGGCATGACCACGTACTCGTAATGTCCATAACGTGAACGAAAGGCCGTCTTCTGAATGTCTCCTTCCTTAACCCGAATCTGATGTTATCCCGATCTTAGATCAATCTTTGAGAAGACACTCGCTCCATGTAATTGATCCAATAGATCATCAATCCGTGGCAGAGGGTACTTGTTTTTGATGGTCAGCTTATTCAATTGACGATAGTCAATGCATAGCCGAGAGCTGCCATCCTTCTTCTTCACCTATAACACAGGCGCTCCCCATGGTGATACACTTGGCCGGATGAATTTCTTGTCCATTAAGTCCTCAATTTGCTTTTTGAGTTCAATCAATTCTGCTGGAGCCATCCTATACGGTTGAACTGAGATTGGTGCTGCCGTGGTCACTAAGTCAATTGTGAATTCCACTTCACGAACGGGAGGCAATCCAGGCACCTCATCCGGGAAGACGTCCGGAAATTCATCCACCACCGAACGTGCTTCCCTCCACTTAGAGTACGCCCGTTCAAAACCTTCAGACTCATTATCCGCGTGAGTCATGATCAAAAAGCAACTAGCGCCTTCCATTATATCTTCCTTCAACTGATCGAGCGTCACACCCAACTCTTCTTCATTTTCTTCTGGAAAAATTAACTCCTTAGCCCCACAATCTATGAGAATGCGATTGGTATTCAGCCAATCCATTCCCAAAATTACTTCTAAGTCTTTGAGAGGCAAACATATAAGGTTTACCTTGTATCTATGCCCTTCTACCTCAATAGGACATCTAACGCACACAATAGATGTCCTAATCTCTCCAGCTGCTGGGGTTGACACCACCAAGTCAAACTGCATCTCGCTCTCAACTATCCCCAACTTATCAACGCACGCCTTCGAGATGAAGGAGTGTGTCGCCCCCGAATCAAACAGCACACTGATGAGTGCATATTTATGCATATTTATGCCCACATTTATGTTTGAAAAATTAAAAATTTTGATGGGATAATTGTGTTTAAATGGTTGATTTTAAGGTGTCTTTGTGATGCTTGGATGCTTTGGGTTTTGGGAAGAAAGAGACGTAAACAGTAAGTTTTAGCGCCTTTAACATTATTCGCTGGATGTTCCTAAGTGTTTATTTGTGCGCTGAGACTATATTTATTTTATTGGTCTCAAATGGCAATTCATAACAAGGCCCAAAATCAGGTTTTATTTGGAAAATAATGTACAGATGGGCCAAACAGACAACTTTTACCCTTCACCTCCTAAAATCCCTACATACACACCTATTTCGAAAACAGGCCAACAACCAAGCCCAAACACTAAGCCATTTCTACTACACCTCCCTAAGTTTCCTATACACATCCCTCCTAAGCCAAATTTCACCAGATCATGCCACGTGGCAATCCTCCACAAACATATCAAACCGTCCAGATAATGCCACATCAGTCATCCTTGCACTAATCAGTGAGCCAATCAGGTTTTGCCACATCACCACCCATGACACCTCAGCCCTAACAGCATCATCTTCTCCAAAGAAAAACCCTAATCCAAACCCTAGCCGCCACTGCCGTTCCGCCGTCAACGTCCGCCGTGCCGCTCCGTCACCGGACAGCCACTGCCGTGCCGCCGTCGCCACCACGCCGCGACCTCCGTTCATCTTCTCCCTTCTCGAAATCAAACCGCGACCGCCACATGTCGGGCACCATTCGTTCTCCTCCGAAGTTTGCGATCTTCAACCTCTGCCGGTGCCAATCGCCGCACCACCATACTTTTGCCGCCGCCAATCTTCATCTTCCTTCGCGCAAGGGTCGACGCAGCCACCACGTTCCACCATCGGAAGTTCATTCGTCTCCTTCGAAATCGTCACGCACAGCAGCCGCGCCGCCACCAAACCCAGGCCGCTTGTCTTGTCAACCTTCAACGCACCTCCACGCCCACCGCCGCGGCGCAAAAGCTTCTCCTTTCTCGCCGGATAGCCACCACATTCACGCTCTCACCATTAAGGACCAGACGCGAGTTCTCCATACCGCCCGCGTACGCAAGCTTCTCGGAACCTAATCGCGCCTCCATCAACGCCAATCTCCATCCACCATTACCATAGCACCATGGAACCTGCATCAAAGCCAGACCTGCAAGAAAAGAAACCAAACAATCCAGTAGGCCGAAGCCTCCATGGTCTCGCACAGGGAAGAATGGGTTCTCTCTTTCGCGGCAGCGGCCAAAGCCATTTCCCCAATTTGGCCAAAACCCTAATTTTGGGGTGGGAAAGGTACCTGACACGTGGCGAGCTCACATGGCCGCCCTTCAGTCAAAGCTGGTCAACACTGCTTAAGTCTGGTCAAAGCTGGTCAACAGGGGTTCTGGTGCAATTTTGGAGAATTCATTTGGGGCTAAAGCGCAGATAGAGAAAATTTCAGGGCATTTGTGCAATTTTGGAAATTCAGAAAGTGAAAAGATCAAATTCAGGTGAAGTAATTATTGGGAAATATCAACCGAAATATCTCCAAATAATGTGAGAATTATCTAACTCTTTAGTTATTTGGAGATATAAGAAAAAGATTCTATCAACTAATACTCAAGTCCAAAAGCCCAATCAAGGCCTAGATAAAGAGACCCGGGGACTTCACTTCATTCATTCTCTCATACTCCTCTCACTTTTCTTTCATCTTGTATTAACTCCATTCATGGGGAGAGCCTAAGCACTAGGGCCTTATTCTGCTGTATTCCTGAGGGATTCTGGGTTAGGTTAAGTTAATGCCAATTGTTATTTTGATATTTATTTAAGTTGTTCTCTCTCTATGTCTTTATCTCTCATATATTGTTAAAAGCAAAGTTTTTGCATATAATATGTTTCAAATCTACATTGCATATTGTTATTGAGTTTTAGGGTTTATAGGTTTAATTGAGAATCTAAGTGAATTTAATTAGGAAAACTTTCATATGATTAAATGTTTTTACTATCAATTGAGAATGTACTTTGATTGATTAGTATAATTTCAACTATAATAAATTGAGAATTTACTTTGATGGATTAGCTTAATTGGTAGAGATTAAGAATAGACATGATAAAACAATAAATTTGATTGAGAATGTACTTTGGTTGAATTTATTGTGAATAATCTAGAAAGGTTTTGAATTGTTTGATTCGAATTTACTTTAGTTAAACTGCATGATTCGCCCTCAAATTAATTAAAGAATTTGAAACTTAAACAATAATCAATTGAACAATTATTCGTGAATAACCAATGATGAATCTATCTTGGAAAAGCAGTGGAATAAGCCTAATTCATCGTAACTGTTCTTATTTATTCTTTAAACACTCTTCAGCCATTACTTTTATTCATAAGCATTGCATAGCATTCGTAAGAATCACAGATATTCAAAAGCAATTCCGTGTTCGTTGGGAGACGACTCAGGGTTACTTCAACCCTCATGTCTATTCTGAATTACTACTTGGCAATACTGAAGTAGTTGCCTTGAAAGTAGTATAATTTGATAGCTTCAACGGGACGGCTTATCAAAGTTGGCGCCGTTGCCGGGGAGGGAATGGGGAATACGGTTAGTATTTTGAATATTTAATCTTTATTTTTATTGTTTTTTTATTTTATTTTATCTTTATTTTATCTTTATTTATTTTACGCACATACATTTATTTAATTGAAGTGATTTTGTAGCCTTTAGTCAGTCTTATAAAACAAAAAAAAGGCTTGGTTCTTGTTTTTATTAAAAAATTTCTCTTGAGAAAAACTTGAGCGGTTGGAATACACTTGGCTAGGAAAGACTGGTATTAAGTGTCCATTGTGACGCACCTCTTTTCCTAGGAGTGGATCCAACAAGTCTCTCTTTTCTCTTATTTGAAATCTTTCTCTAAAGCAAGAACAAAAGAAAAAGAGAAGTCAAGAGAAACAACTTCAAGAAGATTACGTAGTGCATGACCAGAGCTAACCGGTGAAATGCTATAAAATGAACCCGGAAAGTCGAAAGGAATGGGTAAGCTGCGGAGAAGAGAAGATTGAAATTGGGGTTGTTCTAGAAGGAACACTTCCTACAACTGAAAAGTCAGTCCACCTCATTATTCTCCAATCACAAAACATACCATCCAATCCTTTACCTGATCCTAGCCCAACAATATGGCACAAAGAACCATCAGACAGTTAGCCACCTCCCACATTAAGCTATCCGAAGTAAAAGTAACTTTGAATATTCATAATGAGAGTGGGAGTGAGGACTGACTTGTTTAAATGCCTTACAAAAGTTCAAGGGGTATCAAGGGAGAATCCACCACAAACACTGGAGACAATTTCACAGTGTTGTTGAAAACTGTTAGATCTTCCAGGATCACAATAGAGAGGCCTTAAAATGAGAGCTTTTCCTTTTCTCTTCAAGGCGCAGCTCAAGATGGTGGTATTATCTCTCTGACACGGGATTACAAAATTGGGAAAACTATTTTGAAAGCTCTTTCTTGAGAAGTATTTTCCTGCATAGTATTGTCAGCTCTCGCAGAGAAATTCAAGATATAAGACAGAGAGATAGAGAGGAATCTTAGTGAATAGTGGGAAAGATTTCAAGAAACTATGCTCTTCATGCCCTCAACTCCAAATGGAAGATTTTTCTAAGCTTTATGAAGGCTTATTCCTACTGATAGGTCCATGGGCAGTGCTGCAAAGCGGGGATCTTTCTTAGATAGGTCACCAGAAGATGGTTATAGATCTAATAGAACGGGAAGGGCAGTAGTAGGACAATCAACAGTATGGAACCAAGAGAAAAAGTCAGAGTGACATTGTGAAGGGAGTGCATGAAAATTGATAATGGTTTGCAGTTGATGGAAAGAGGTAGATGAAAGATTGAATAAGCAGAAAGGCAAAACTCGAAGAGGAGAGGATTACAAGTTTGTTTTTAAAAACCTCAACTCCACAAATTGTTAAGAAAGAAGTGTGGAATTTGCATGTCACTACCAATATACGATGAAGTCCTAGCTTGGTGGAGACCACTGTGGAAAACCCATCTCAAGCTTTTGCTGCAAACATGATTGGAGGAAATAGACCATACCAGAATTATCATGATTCGTCCTCCAACAGATATCAGCAGAACAGACAACCTTATGTTCCACCTCAAACAAAGGCAGCAATCTCAGCCTGAAATGTCAATGCAAGATTTCATGAAAACAATAGTTGAGCAAAATTCAGAAATAAAGAAATCAATTGAAGAATTGACTCAGAGGGTGGATAAGTTAGAGGCTAAGGAACCAAATAAACTGCCTGCACAAACAGTGATCAACCCGAGAAATGTAAATGCTATCACTTTAAGAACGGGTAAGCAGGTAGAAGGTCCTGAAGGAGCCCTAGAGGATGAAGATAAAGAGAAAGAAGAAGCACAAATTAATGACAATGGAGGATCAGTTGAGCCATCACCTGAATCAACCACTGAAAAATCCGGTTATATTTCTAATTCTTATACAAATTCTCTTCATCTTAGTCTCAACCTACTCCATAGCCAAAAGCGGTTAAAACGGAGAAAGAAACAAAAAAATGGAGGAATGAGGAGGAAGGAATTAGAACAAGAGATTTAAATACTTTCAAGAGGGTAGTAGAGATAAAAACATCCTTGCGTGATGCTGTTTTAAACAAAGTCCCAAGTACGCCAAATTTTTGAAAGAACTTGCACAAAGAAAAGGCGTATTAGGATACTGAGATTGTGAATTTGGGAAGAAATGTGTCAGTTTGGTTAAAGAAAAACACATTGAATACCACTAAAAATGCAAAGATTCCAGGTATGTTTTCTGTTCCTTGTACTTTGGAAATTTAAAGTTTGACAAGCCATGCTAGATTTAGGGGCTTCCATTAATGTAATCCCTTTATCAGTGTTTACTTTCTATCTGGGACCTCTTTAAAAACTACTGGTGTGGTCATCAACTGGCCAACCGTTTAGTTTTTAGACAGTTGTTAAAAACCCCCCCC